CCCCCCCCCCCCCCCCCCCCTTCTTTTCCTTCCACTCCCTTCCTTATTATGGCTAGTGGTGGCTCTGGGAAATCGGCTAGCGAGGGATCAACCAGCACACCCAGTGGAAGTTTGCAGCAGAGGAAGCGTCTCTCCTCTATCTGTGACACATGTAAGGGCAAAATGCAGCTGGTGGCTGACCTCCTCCTGCTGTCCAGCGAGACCAGGCCAGTCATGACCTCTGAAGGTGTGGCAGTGGCAGACACCTTTGACCAGTGCCGTGACACAGTCATCGCCAGGACTAAAGAGCTCTCCATTCTCACCCATGACATCCAGAGCCAGCTCAACATGGGCCGCTTCACAGAGGTGGGGGACCGTCTCCTGGAGATGGCGGACCTGGTGGTATCTTTGACAGAGTGCTCAGCCCATGCCTCTTACCTGGCAGCTGTGGAGACACCTGGCTCTCAGCCCTGCCTGCCAGGTCTGGTGGACCGTTACAAGGTGACCCGCTGCCGGCACGAAGTGGAGCAGAGCTGCAGCATCCTCAGAGTTACACCCTTGCCAGACCTCTCCCCCCAGCTCCTCCTTGAGCTCTCTCAGAACATCTCCACCAACCTCAAGAATCTTACAGACATCTCCTCGCTGGCCAGTGAGAGGTCCAGGGACCGCTTTGCAAAAGAGCAGTTTAAACTGAGCGTCAAAAGCATGAGCACGAGCGGCACAGCCTTCCTGGCGTGTGTCAAGGAGGTGAAAACGCAGCCCAGTGAGCTGACCAGGAACCGCTGTGTGCTCTTTAGTGCGGCTTTAGTCCAGGCTGTCAATGCCCTGGTTGGGTTTGCCACAGAGCCTCAGTTCCTAGGAAAAGCTGCAAGTATCTCCACTGAAGGGAAGGGGGTACAGACTGCAGTGTTAGGGGGGGCCATGAGTGTGGTTTCAGCCTGTGTCCTCCTCACTCAGGGCCTCAGGGATGTTGCACAGCATCCTGAGAGCAGCTCGAAAATGGCTGACTACCGTGAGCGTCTGCGAAACTCGGCGTGTGCTGTATCAGATGGCTGCACTCTGCTCACTCAGGCACTCAGAGAACGCTCCTCTCCAAGGACTCTGCCGCCAGTCAACTCTCATTCTGTGAATTAGTTTAGGAAGAGGCAGCATGATCTCCAGTCCCCTCTGTCCTATTCTACCGTACCAAAGACACTCACTTGGGTTATTCCTGTTCATCAGATATAGAGTCAGTAACATCAGAAGGAGGCTATCTGTGGGTCTGTTCATGGGGTTGAAGTGTGTTTGAATGCAGAAGAGCGCTAAAAATGTCACAGGGTTTTGTGTCGCGCTGGATGTGGCTCAAACCTTGTTACAAATGGACCCCTTGAGCAAATGGGCCTGACATGAGCTCAGCTGACCACCGCTCACCAACAGACAGCAACCTTCAAACCTGAAAAGTTTACCTCAGTTTTCAGCTCTGGTGAAAACACCAGCTTTGATGATGGATGTAGCCTCACTGTGTGAATCTGTGGTTGGCTGACCTACTCGATTATGTGTGCTTTGTGAGAATGAAAAGAGTGATCTGAGTGTCTCAATGCCTGCTTTTGTTTTTTCAACATGTGTGAATTCTTAATTGGTAAAAAGCTGCTGTGAGTGTGTGCCATAGGTTTTACACTATTTACCAGACTTCCCATAGTATTTTAAAGTGTTTTGATCATGCATGTAATGGAGTATTTATTTCAACAATTAAAAATGTTGTTTCTGATATGCCGTTGTTTGGCTAATGTGCTTTGAAAAGCCAAATTGTTTTAAGGGTCTGTTCATTCAAATAACAAAAAAGCATCTAGTGGTATCTGTCCATACTGACAGTTAAGTTTTAATTGTTCAAGTTTGGAGTTATCTGTCTCTGAGATTTCTGCTTCCACCCTGATAGAATGGTGGTAAATTAACTTAAAAATACTGCTTTCTAATAGAGCACTGTGCATTGATGGTTTGATAGAATGTGACTAATGACCTGCTTAAGGGTCAACAAAACATGTTTTGTAGAATAATTATAAGCTGTTAATAAAAAAAAACCCATTTGGTTCATCCTGTAATTAAAACCAAAATCCATTTGGTCTGACCAACCAAATTGATTATTTTATAGCCTGGCAACCCCATTGTTCTTATGAATAGCTTCTTACTGATGAATAAAGTATCAATAATGACATTTTACTCCTAATCAAATCTTAAGTTACAATTCAGAAACCCTTTACATGGGGCGTCTTGTAAGAAAGTGCCACGGAAAATGAATCAGCAACATCTCTTTAACACAGTCCTTAAATGGAAAGATAATATATTTGTTTTGTTGTAAGTACCAGTTATCTTAATAAAAAAAATGTTATCTGTCAGGATTTTTGCAGCTCTGTACTTTCCAGAAGCACTGTCTTTGGTAGTTCACAGAGTACACTGTCAGCAGTTTTACTTTTTTCCATGACAAATAGTTTGAATTCACCTCTTTCGTACTGGTGAGAAGGCAGATGTCTTAAAACCTGGACAAATTAAACCAAAACAATATGCATGGCTCGAGAGGGAAAGGTAAATATGTATATTGTTGTAGTTTTTGTGAACCAACCTGTTAGTGATTTAAAATGGAAGGTTCTGTCTTGCTCTCCTGCTAAATCCTTTGTAATTTACTTCCTTGGATAATGTTGAAGTGTGTGTAGAATGTGGTAGGATGTATAAATAGGTATTACTAAATCGGTCATTTTGTTAAATAGCATAGTGGTTCCTAACAACAGTAATGATATTATCGTGGACCACAAACTAATGCTCAGTGTGTTTGTTAATCTTGGAATGGTGGAACAAGTATTTAGATCATGTCCTTCGGTAAAAGTAGCAATACAGCACTCTAAAAATACTCCAGAAAACTACATAACTATCATAAATAAAACATACATAAATGATACATATTTTGCAGGAAATATGTTCCTGTGAGTGTTATATTGCTGAATGATATTATTGGATTATTATCACTAAGGCATTAATGAGTAAGTATCATTTTAATGTAATAATTTTACTAATTTTGGATTTTGCTGGGTAATCATCAAAAAACACATCACACTTTGTTCATCAAGTTTTGTGTGTAAAGTCCTTAAAAATAAAGTAGTTACTATAGTTGTGAAAAACAGCAAGTGGAGTAAAAAGTACAATATTTTCTTCTCTGACATTGGCATCTACACTAGTGCTGAAACAAGTGGTTGATTAATTGAGAAGTTGGTCAACAGAAAATGTATTGACAACAGTTCTGATAATTAATTGTAGTTGATTAAGCAAAAATGCTCAACATTTAATGGTTTCAGCTTCTCAGATGTGTAGATTTACTATGTTTCTCTATTTTATATCATTTTGAATTAAGATATTTTGGGGATTCAACTGTTGATTGGACAAAACCATTTGAAGATGCCATCTTGGACTCTGGGGAATACCATTCACTATTCTCTGAGACTAATTATGGACTGATGAGGTGTTTTAGAGCAGTGGTTCCCAACTGGTCCAACCACGAGACCCAGATTTATCCTTAGTCATTAGTTCAAGGTCCACACAGTTTTTACATTCAGCATTATATTTTCATTTGGCCATGTTGTGGAGCTAGTTTGCGGTCTCTGTCAAGCAGCTATCTGTTAGTCACTCACTCTACAAAAGGAAACGCCACAAAAAAAGCCATGTGCTGAAAATTCACTGTACTTCAAAATAAAATGTGTTTTATTACAAACCTGACACATTGGACAGTCACTTGTGGTCCATTCAGAATGGATCTGCAACCCACTTTTGGACCCAGACCCACCAGTTGGGAACCACTGTTTTAGATAGTCCATGCTTTACTTAAACCTGGGTTCATGTTCCTTTGTCAGCCGACAGCTAGCTGAAGTGTTGCTGAGCAGCATAGTGAATCCATGTGTCACATGAATAGTGCATCTTGTGTGATTTTCACTGATATTCTTTTTGTCAATCAGACAGAAAAGAAATTGGAATTTATACACGTATTCATCCACTACCCTTATTTGCATACTGGTTGGACAATTCTTTAAGATAAGCAGAAGGTAGTGCAAATTTTCCTGTCATGTGCTACTCCATCAGAGCAGAAGGAGACATAGTTAAAATACCATTCAGACTCTGGATGGTAGGGAAATAACTATGGCATTTAATTTTCTTTCATATATTCATTGGAGAAGGGTTACAGTGTCCTTAACGTTAACGTCACACGGACCCAACACTGTTGTCCTTCGCCATTTTTTGGCTCTTCGGTAAAGCAGAAGCTTCGTTGGATGTCAAAGTCACATGCTTCTTGTAGGCTACATCATTTTGCTTTTATCTGTACACCAAATTTTCCACCTCAGTAAAACATTTATGGCATTATGGCATGAAAAAAAACTGAAAATACACATATACACCAGGGGAGGGAAACACGCCAATAGACGCACATTGCTTCATACATGCAGTGATGTGTCACAGGTGTAAGTAATAAAATGAATGACAGCTGAATTCCATCTGGCTGCTTCTCTTCCACTGTCCTAATAATATGCATGCTGGTTCACTGTCACACTGTCATGGCTTTCTGGAGTAATATCATGAGAAGGAGTGGGTACTGAACATCACCGCAGCCATGATGAAATTCAGTACAACAGCACAACCTCGAGTGTGATATTGCTTTTATACAACAGTTCTACAAGCTCCATTTATTAACAATAAAAAGCAGCGACAGGTTAGGATTCGTATTGTTTAATGATTTGTTTGGCTTTGCCAACACAAATAGTTGGGCAACTGGATTGGGACTGTACTGTTGCCAAGCAACACACAATTATTCCTGCACATTAGCTGGCTACTTTGTGTGAACTAGGTCTACACGTTACTACAGACCAGCTACATTGTATCATGTGCATTTATCTGTATGTTTCCATTTACTGTGGGACCAGGTGAGTTGGTCAGCTGCTCAGGGGAAATAGCCCAGCGAGCACTTAAAAAAAAAAAAAGACGTTTAAAAAATTACTGTGGTGGTGTGTGTGTGGTGAAAAGACATTTAGAACTGGTTCAAAAGTGAAAGATTTGTCACCAAGTATTTAAAGACATTGTTTAAACATAAACATTTAGACCATATTTCACCAGGATTCTGGTGATGATTCTACTCCGAGAAAACAACCAGGTGGGAAAAGAAAGGTAATAGTTAAATGGTTTCCCAGAACACTGACGTCAAACAGCACTTTTAGAGTCACTTGATGTTACTGCAGCCTCCAGTCACCAGATCTCAGTCCAATAGAACACCTTTGGGATGTGGTGGAACAGGAGATACGCATAATAGATGTGCAGCTGACAAATCTGTGGCAACTCTGTGATGCTATCATTACAATATGGACCAAAATCTCTGAGGAATGTTTCCAGCACCTTGTTGAATCTATGTCACCAAGAATTAAGGTAGCTCTGAAGGCACAAGGGGTCCAACTTGGTACCAGCAAGGTGTACCTAATAAAGTAGCCAGTGAGTGTATACAGTCAATGAATAAAAGTTAACTAGTTGTAATTCAGTTAAAAACATCTACAATGAATAGTACCACTGGTAAAACATTAATTGTTGATTACAATAGTTAAGATTTTGACTGCAGTAAGAAATTAACTGTAGCTATCTTTAATTAGAATTGCTACTAGTCAGAGTTACATTTTGGACTTGTTGGCTTGGAATTCTAATGATTAAAAAGCAATTGTTTATCTACAATTGCTATTTCCACTACTGATGAAATGTTTAAAGGGCTTGCCATACCCTCACAGCCCACTTCACATAGCAGCGTTCTGTGTTTTCCTGCCTTGCCTCTCCAGTTCAACCCAGGTCACACTCCATCTGCTGGAGCAAAGCCATCGTGAGATCTGTATTGTGGTAATCTCACAGAATCCAGATCTTCTTTTAACGGAATGCGCTGTGGATTGATGTCTTCCATGCAGCATGTGAAGGTAACCCTGATATGATTCTGGATAGTGTCTGCCAAGTTTGTGATCCTGGGTGTTGTTAGGACCCAGGGGCCATATTCACAAAGCAAGCTGCTCCTAGTGACAAAATCCAAAGAAAATTCTTAGAATTGTGACATTTTCTTAGAATTTCCCCTTAAAGTTAAGACTAGGTCCTTGTAAAGATACAAGTTATTCACAGAGCATCTTAGACCTCAAAAGAGCCCCTAAGGTGAAGGAGTAGGGAGGAGGACTTTTAAGAGAAGTAAGAGTTTCTTAAGCAGAGGAGAAAATGACAGAAACACTGGATGACAGTGAGTAAATGAAATGCCACAGATTAGATTGTGCAGGAATAGTATTTGTGGTTGATCTCATTAGGGGTATGCACACATTTCCCACCCAACGCAATAAAATGATCACAATACTGGGACAGAAAACTGGAAAAAGGCAACAGTGCAGCAGTGATAACTTGTGGCTGTCTCAACCTTCCATCAGCAAAGTGATCACACTATCAATGACAACACTTTGACAGTCAGCAGTTCATTTCATTTCCACTGGGTGTCCACACCTTGCAGGCTCACAGAAGGGCATGTCTGTGGTAACCAATCACGCCACACACAGAATGCATTACACCTAGCAACAGGATCAACCGCACCTCCTCACTGAGATAAAAATTTCTGCTAATTCCTCGCTCAGAGTTGCTCTTAGACCTTTCCTAAACCACGCCTAAACTAGGAATCCTTACTGAAATTTTTTAGGCTAAGTTAGGAGCTCCCTGAGAGTATTCTGACAGTGTTTGTGAATATGGCCTCAGGAGTTTTGCACACAGCCTCACGCTGATAAACTAGCTAAACAAAACAAATGAAAATGCTGTTCAGTCCAACATCATGGGGGAAATAAATCTGGGAATAATTCACTACTTGTTTTTTTGACAATAAGATCAGATGAATGTATGATTTGATTTAAACAAACACCATAGTTAGGGATGTACAGTATTGTATTTTTTGCCGATATCCAATATATGCCAATATATAACAACTCATTTGGTCGATAATCAATATCGATATATCCACTTTTTCCTCACCTAATTTTAGTCATCAAGTTTATGTAGTGGAATTACCATCATATAATGCATGCATACCGTTAAAGGGTTTTTTGGGGGGAGTTTTTCCTTATCCGCTGCGAGGGTCCTAAGGACAGAGGGATGGCGTATGTTGTAAAGACCTGTGAGGCAAATTGTATTGAATACTCTAGTCATGATGGCCCACCAGCAGATGGAGACATGAAATAAAATGCTTTTCAATGTATGTAATCATTAATTGAGCAAAGTAAGAAAAAGCATGTTGGCATACTGATGACGTGCCAATATTATTATGCATCCCAAACTAAAGACATGACAAGAGAGATTAAAAATA